CTTGCAGAGTTTTCCCACAAATCAAGTTTGCCTTCCAGCCTGAAGTAGGCTACTTGTCTTGGTAGGAGCATAAGCACTTCAAGTGGTCTCCTGTCCTGAACTGTGATGGATCATTGGTGGGCTTGCTTATGGCTCCCAGGACTTCAGGTGAGAAAGTACCCTCTCCCCAGCATTCTCCTTCAGTGAGCCTCTTTTCTTTTTTCTTTTCTCTTTTCTTTTCTCTTCTCTTTTCTTTTCTCTTTTCTTTTCCTTTTCTTTTCTTTTTTTGGGAAGGGCAGTCCCTGCATTGCTAAGCACTTCCCAGCCAACTGTGCCTCTGGCAATAGCTTTTAGCAAAGGTACCACGTTTGCCTCCACAGGCACCAGAAGTCCCTTATGGCTTCTGCATCCTCTGCTTGCCTGTGTGGCAGCTGCCAAGAGCACGATCTTGCATGAAGGGTTTCCTGGCTGCTTTCACTAGTCTGGGAAACTCATCATCTCCTAAGTACTTTGCACTTTCCAATCAAAATGCTGATTCTGTCCTAGGCTCTACTTCTGTATGATCTCCCCTGTCCCAAACCCACATGAGTATCAGGGAGGGAATCCCCACAGGATCAGTGTTTGACATTGGCAGCTGGTGGTAAAGAATTAAGATTTTTAATTTTTTTTTTATTTGGTCACTGGTTATCATGAAAAATTAATAATAACATATTGCAATCCATCAGTAAATGACAATTTCCCAGATGGAGAGATGTAACTGTATGTCTGAAGTGTGGCAAGGGGGTCTGACAGTGTGCATCTCACTGCTGTGTGAGGGCTGAGTGGCACCTCAGCCTGGGGCAGGCTCATTAACCCTACAGGCAGGTTGCCTATTCCCTGTGCCAGTGCCAGGTCCACCACATGGGGCAAATCCACAGCTCAGCAGCCTCATCTTCCCTGCCTGTTGTGCTGTGTAGGGTGTTGAGCCTCGCAGGTATGGATGTATGGACACACACACAGAGCCAGAGGCTGTTGGAGCATCTCTTGGTCTTTTCTAAGCACCGTTGCTCATGCAGCTTTTGCCTGGAGCTGCCCCAGCCCTCCCCCAGTGTGGCTGCCCCTCAAACAGCCCTTTCCTCCCCCAGCCCCCTCCGCACACTGACCTTGACCTGAATACCATAATCCACTACAGCCATAAGCAATTGCAGAGAGTGGCAGGTCACCCAAGGATACTTTTTCCAGCTCTGCTGCAAGTCACAGCTCACAGTGGTTCGGCTGCTTGGGAAGGAAGAGCTACCTGCTATCCCAGTTCCCAACCCATGGACTCTTTTGGACATGCCCAGTGATATCTGCATCCAGCGTCTGATGTACATCACACAGTCACCAGGACCAAAAATACGTAGGGTCTATGGGATGGGGATCTGTCTCTTTAATGGCATCCAAACAACAACTCTCCTCTGGCCCCCAGGAGGTGCTGGGTGAGCAAACGATCCCCATGCTGAGTTGCAGGGAACAGACATTGAACTGTTTGGCAGTTGCAATCAGAAGCCTTTTTTTTTTTCAATTTTTTTCCCCCAACACTGGTCAGCAGCTGTGTTGTTTATAAAATGAATGGAGCCCTTAATGAAGCAATAGATAGAAACAGTGAGAGGCTGTGTCTGTCTGTTACAAAGGGCTAAGGGGGAAGGGTTGAGCTCTTAAAATACCCTGGCATCCTTTCTGTCACTTATTTAAACATTAGGCATAGCATCAGCTACCAACATAAAGCCTATATTTGGCTTGGTTGAAACACTAAATCCACACATCAAAACAGCTGTTCATATAGACAGACTGGGAGAGGCTTTCTGTTCCAGTGAACGTGAAATAGTGCAAAATAGTGCATAAAAAAGCATACAGCATGAGGGAAGGGGGAGGGCCAAGTTGTAAGCAGGACTGCTCGATGTGCTGTATTGGTGGATCCACAGACCCCGTTACCAGCACGCAGAGGATTGCAGCTGATACTCTGCCCAAGATGCAGAAACAGACAGGAAGAGGATTCTAGCATTGGAGAGGAAAAATAAGCAGCTTTGCTATAAACAGTTTTCACTCCAGCTCACTCCGTCACTTGCAACACATGACATTAATCGTAAACCCTCAAAACACATTTAGGTTAAAGTTTCCAGCTGTTCAGTCTGTAGAGACTTTTAAAGAGGAAAGCAGCATCTTTCAGCACAAAAGTCCTGCTGCCACAACATGCAACATCCTCTCCCACTCCTGCCCTGCAAGGACGGGGGGGGGAAGATATCTTGAAGTTTATCCAGATTTTTGTACAGTAGATATCAAGGCCCAGGCAGAGGTGTTAAAAACTGAGATTTCAGCAATGACACCCTTTCTATTAGTGGTTTTAAAGAGCATCACTGCAGCAGTTGGTACTGAGATACATTAATGCAATCAGGAAGCCTCGTGGTCCCTGAGAGTCCATTCTGTTCTCTTCCACCCTTCATAACCCCAAAAGCACTGTGAGAGGTGAATTGGTTATTTTCTGGAAACCTGTTATCCAATCTGAATTTCCTCTGTGCCACAGGAACTCCTTGCTTCCTGGTGGCCATTCATACTTAGTGAAAAAAGTGAAACCTCAGCTCATCTCTTCTGTGCTAGTGAAACTGCAATATCCAGGCTAATTCTGTCCCCAAGAATAACACAGAAATCAGCTTTTGCAAGCTCTAGGAAGGGCTTTTATAAAAATTTCTACAAAATCTGCAAGGCACTTGCATCTCTTCAGTTATAGGACCAGTTAAAGATGTCAGAAGACCAGCACTGCAGGGAGAAGGGAGTCATAACTCCTTGTGAAAGGTAGGACACCACTCCTCTGTGCTGCCCTCCAGCTTTTCTCTGCAGGTACACACCATTCCTTGCCAAATGAATACTTTCTGTTGCAAAGCTGATAGTTATAGTGGTCCTAGCAACTCCTCGCTGCTCAGAAGTGCTCGCAGATCCCTTTGTGCCACAAGAAGGCTTGGATACATTCCTTCCCATTAAACCAACATAAACTGCCTGGGCTTGACAGGCACACCATGGTGTCCTTGTGGAAGGAATGATTAGCCATTCCCAGAAGAGCTCAGCAAAGAACATAACTTTGCCCTTCTTTTGTAAGCTGAATTGGCACAGGTTCCTCCTGTTTTCACTGGCACTGGCTGTGGTTAACCAAATCAAGCCCTTTGCTGGTATCAGTCCAATGATGACTGCTGAATCATCACATCTAGCAGAGCCTTGACTCAGACATGCCAAATATTTGCTTTTGCTTCTTTCTATCACAGGAATTTTTTTGAGATACAGGAGGAATGAGCAGCCCAAAATAGTCTTAGCAAAATCACAAAGTCACCTGCTCCTGAAAACTCCAGGATGTTAAGTACATCACTAGGCTAATCTTTCCTTTTATGAACTTAGATTCTTGCAAGAAGTCAAAAAACAATATCTCAAAGTAGCATCTGCAATTTCAATCAAGAGGCCCAAATACCTCCAGATAATCGTGAAGAACATGTCATGCCAATGGATTTACAGAGCAGATTGAGATCAGAAAGGATGGAATGAACATGGCACCAACTCCAGTAAGGAAGTCAGTGCACAGATCTGTGCACAAGACAGTATTATATCCAGAGAAACAAAGAAACTTTCAAACAGCAAATAGCATTCTGTATCAAGGCTCAATATTTTTCTATATTTCTTAGAGCAAAATTATCCTTTAGTACTAAACCAGCCAGCAACAATGCTGAAGTGTGTGCTATTTTCTTACTATGGGTTGGAGTGGGAAAAATAAAGCTCTGAGCAAAAAAGTAGGGAATGGCAGAGATATGAGCAAAAGAAAAAAGATTTCATTGATACAGAAGGATGACAAGAATATATTTGGACTGAGGAAGACTACTGTACTCCTGGTAAAACATGAAGACACCAGACATTGCAAAGTTACAAATTTATTTGTTTTGAAATAAATACAAATACTTCATTAAGAAACTTTTCTTGATAGACTTTACACAATAGCTTTATTCTTTCTGGAAATTGTCTGTTCTTCCCACAAACCGTTATGGATATTCTACACAAGAGCTGAAGTTAGTCAATATAAAGTAACCTAGATGGTGTTCTTCTGAACAAGCAATCCCAAAGTATTAACATGTGCTATTTAACTGCTCAGCATTTGAGCTTTTTGTTTGTGTGAGGACTGCAATTCAGCAGTTATGCACTGGAGCTCAGGAAACCCTGTCCCACTACCTATGGAAGGACAAACTTAAGAACACCCAACTGTGAAAATCTGCCTGGCAGAAAGGTATCAAGCCACTAGCTTCAAAGAAAGCAACCCAAGGTATCAGGAGGCTACGTAAAGATGCAGAACCAGCAGATCATTACATCTACGCAGTCATTAGACACTGTATTTCATAGATACAGTGTTGCTGCTCCACCACTTCATGGAATACACTTCTCAGCACCAGTGAGATCTCATCAGAGTTTCAAATCTAGTAATTAGTGGCAGTTGAATGTACAGTATCTAATTACATACCATCCCACAGTTATTCATCTCTCCCGACAAAGAACAGCTGGATCTGTCTTTGTTTACAGAATTCCAAATTTATCACAATTGTGCTGGACACAAAAAACTTGAGCTGCAAAGATAAGAAGCTGTCTGAAGGAAAAATCAAGCTGTTTCTGCCTTGCTGGCATGTATGGCTACCCTACTTGTTACAACTACACCAACTTCAGCAGTATGGTAAACCCTTTGGCCCAAGTTCCCAAACAGGAAATCCTACCTTGCTTATCAAATTTAAATCCTGTGCTCATTTGGCTAAGCAGGTTTTAGGGTCTAGGAGGGGGGAAGGAAAGGAAGACTGGAACTAAATCTCAAAAAAGTGAAATAAAAAAGCTTAAAGATTTAGTTCATCTCAAAGTCACATTAAAATCGCCTATTTTAGTAGTATATTATTGTACATAGGAAAACAGGCTTGAATACTAATTAATTAGAAGGCCTATAAATGCACGATACATTAACTTTTCTATCATTTGAAGTCAAGCTATATACAATTAATTCGACTCCAGCTTCAACATGAGGCCATAACACATTTGTTTCATTTCCTTTTTCTTAAAGTCATCTGTGAGAGTTTGTTGGGTTTTTTTCTCCCCCTCTTTGGAACTCATCTCAAATTGTGCCAGTTTACTTCAAGAGAATAAGAGATAAAGGGGCCTGTAACAGCTTTGATTTTAAAGGAGGGTATTGAGCAATTCTGGTTTGACTCTGAAGTGTTTACAACCACATCAGCTTTTGGCAAGTATCCTTTAGAATTTGGCATCCACTGAAGGAGGGCACAATAGCAGCAGCTGTCTGAGTTACAAGAATAATGACAGAGCAAATGAGATGCTTCTTTTCTTTGGTCCCTGTCAGACCCTGGTGAACGAAGTTCATCCTACAGAATAGCTTGAGATTAATACCAGTTATGTTTTTGTGATACACAGGGGGCATCCATTACTTTTTCACACTGTGACCAGTTTAAGCCTCCCATTGCCATCTAACAGGACACTTCCATGGACTTGGGGCTTGATTGTTCAGCATTGCTCGCCGAGTTGGGCGTCAGCTCGATGCGCGTGTCTGTGTGGGAGCGGTTCCTGGCCCCGTCCCCGGTGTGGGACCAGTGTGGGACCGGCTCCTCGTGCCCTCCCCGGTGTGGGACCGGCTCCTCTGTCCGTCCAAAGAAGTCACGCTGGAGCCAGAAGCGGTGCGGGACCTCATCAGCCTGGTCATGCTAGCAGAGGGCACTGGAAGAAGAGTCTTTCATTAATTCCTTACTTCTTGGGTTGGAAGGAAGCCCCTGCCTTCCTCTCCAGCCTTAACCACCTTTGGAGAAACCTTCCAGGTGGAATATATACTTTTCATGGCAGCTTCATATGCAGAAGTCCCTCCACTGCTCCAGGCATACAGTTAAGGAGCCTGAATAATTAAGGCAGGGCTGAGGGATCCAAGACAGCTTTACGTCACGTTGCTGTGACTGCAAGAATCTAGAAGTAAACTAAAGAGACTCATCAGACCTCCTGCTACTTTCAGATATTTAACCTTTGCTGGCAGCCCAAGCTAGCAATGCATCTACATTACAGCAGCTGTCAGAAGCACATACGTGAAAAACAAACAGCTACAGCTCAAAGAAGTCTCTGAACTAATGAAGTTTCAAACGTTGTGTGCAGTATATGAACCATATCCTGTGATGACACAAGGGGACACTATTACAAATATCCACCTTAAAAATATCAAGATAAAGTAAAGCAGATGTTTGTGGGTATAAGCTGCCTACAGAGTTATTTACTATTTAATAACATAACTTGGACTGAAAACCCTTTGCCCAGGAACCACAGGTGTTGGCTTTTTTCCCCCCTTGCAAATGCATATCCAACAGGGAAAATAGCACACACCTGGGATCAGAGACTCTCTGGATGCTTAGATGCCCAGTTAACTTGGGTGCCCAGGTCAACCATTCCATAAAACCAATACTTACTGTATCCCATTCCCTGAACAAAGTATTTGAAAGCTTCTGCAAGCTTGGCAGGCTGCAAAAAGAGAGAGAGTGTTATTGTATGCAGTGCTCAGTTACATTACAATGTTATAGATGCCACAGATGACCTACTTTAGCAGGGACATCTTAAATATTCTCTGGGTTCTACTGAATGTCTGAAAACTTCATTTATGAGAAAATTTCACCATTCCCCTTCATAGTCTGCTCCTCTGCCCTATTATTTTACAAAATGGACACATGAACTTGAGAGTGAGATATCCAGAGAAATGATGACAAGTGTTCTAAGCCTGGCCTAAACTTTGCTCATGCAGTTACTGAGGCAGGTGAACCAAAGTAAAACAACTGGCCTCATAAAATATACATGGCAGTTCATACAAGGTCAGTAATTGAGCAATTCCTAATCAGCAGAGGACTCTTTCAGCTAGTCAGAGGTGATAGTTATGTTTATAGGGCAAAAAAGCTCAGCCGGAATTCACAAGCACAACTGCTTATGACTGACATTCTTGCCATGAGGCACTCCCTGGTTTTCTCTGCTGGTGACATAGTGCTCACACAAGCCTCACAATCTCAATTACTGCACATGACTATTCTTTGTATAATTCTATCTGAATCACTGCAAAGAATGAACTCTATAACAGAAGCAATGCACATACTCCTGTTTGGCTTTAAAAAAGCCTTTTTCCAACTCCCACTGTTGGAGCACACACTGCCTGTACAGGGATTTCAGCTGTAGCAATTATAATTTCAGTTTTTCCTTAAGTTCATGAACACCATATTCTATTTCTGAGAAATATGTTTAGATGTTAGATCACATTCCAAAGCTGATATACAGGTCAGCACTGCTAGTGAGGCAACACAAGAGCATAGGTAAATTTTAACTTTCCCAGCTTGGTTTTATTAGCAGCTTGGAATTTATGCCTAAATACATTCCAGAAACTCCAGTTCATTCTCAGTCAAGCCGAGTCAGTATATGCAAGAACATAACGTTATTTCCTGCCTCCCACTTTCCTAATCTATACTATAAATAGTCCAAATAGGAATGCTTTTAAAACACTGGTGCTCAAGACTTAATCCACATTAGTTTAGTAGATAGGCATAAAATAATGCCTCCACATTCTCACCTCAGATCTTTACTTGGTTAAGACTGTATTAGTGAAAATAATATCCCCTCCCAATCTTAATTTTGCGCTTCATTGCTCTTTAAAGAAAAAAGAAAGCTCAGATGACCAACTGACATCATTATTCGTGAAATCATAACCATCCTTTTGGCTGACATTTGGGAACAGCAAGTACCCTACAGGAAAACACCCATTTATTGCAGTCTGACACACTGCAGAACAGGATTAGTAGGATTTCCGTCTGCCAGATCCTACCTGGGAAACTTGAGGGAGCCCACCACAGTCAGCCATCTGAAATGGGATGAGAACAGCCAGTTAGTGTAATGTCAGAGGAACTCATTTATGCTCAGGATATATTAAAATGACCTTTTTAAGCTATCTGGCAGAAAAACATTTCCTTTTGTTGTGTGACTAACATACATGTGGATGAACGCATCCAAGTAAGCTGTTAAATGTTTATAAAAACTATGACTGCACCCCCAACGTGTCTTGACCCTCAGGCAAAGCATCAGCTGGATCTACAAATGGTTTTTGCTAGGCAGTGATTACCAGTTTCTTAGAAACCAGCCCATTAGTCCTGGTTACAAGTTGAGCTCTGAATTACAATAACATGCCTCAGTATTGACCTGGGTGACAAACAGGGGACAGAAAATAAACATCTATAGCTCAGAGGTGAGAGGGAAAAACAATTTGCTGAGATTGCGGATGGCAAGCATCAGCTTGACTTGCCAAGGGAAGCAGGGAAAGCCAAATGAGAAAAGCTATCTTGAGTGCATGCAATATTTTTGGAGCACTTCATTTTTCCTGCCACTCCACCCCTCAAAGTCAACCCAACAAAAACAGTTCTGTTCCAAGGAACACCACAAGCTGAAAACAGTGGAGTTGTAAATTACAGGAAACCCCAAATCCTATCTAGGATTAGGTCGCAGCAAAACAGGCCTACAGCAGGATCTGGCATCAGCCATATCCCTGGTCTGAGCAAAGCTGGCCACTGACACAGGGTCTGAAATAGTGCCAGAATCTCTCTCAGGATTTCTCCCATGCCCATGTGGTAAGGCAGCAGTCTAACTTCCCAATGTTAGGAGGAAAAAGCATTTTAAAAATTATTACAATTTTCACTGACCAGTTCAATAAAGAGATATGCAGTAGAAATTTCCAGCAGAAGCATGATCAGACATGTTTCACCATTAGCATGCTATTACTTCATCAGTAATGAGCTGAAGATTGCACCCATACTCTGAATGTCATGATTCATCCAAAGCCTTTGCATGATGTTCTGCCGTCTGGAAGTGAGTTTTACCAAGTTTTTGGAAAATAACAGTATATCCTGGACCATACCCTCATAAAAGGTAGGATGACCAAACTGTGCCTGATCAGCTGTCAATTCACCCAACACCACTGCTGAGGGACAGGCAAGCACAGGAACAGAACAAGCTGGTTTGCATTTCCACTCTGCTCACGGCTTTTTCAAACTTTTCAAAATACCTTGAGATCAACTTTGCCAGCTCTAGTCAAATTCATTTTGGGTATGTGAAATACTGAGCATTTCAAGTCTTGTCCCTAGTGTTTTAAAATGGAGGAGCTGAGAAATTCCCTGCTGTTAACAGACAAGACTTCTGACAAGAAGCCCCTAGTCTACTAAGGTACTCTTACCCTGAAGGAACTGACTTTCCACATCAGAACTGAATTCTCTGTTATCTGAGCTGTAACACATCACTCTGGTTCTGCTTTTTTAGCTATTCCAGCTGGTTTTAAATGAAGAAAATTCTTATTTTTAAAAAACCCACAGTTTTTGTTATTACCTTCAGAAGTGTGGTCCTTGTTGGGTCCAGCTTCGAGTTGCATTCAACCTATATAAAAGAATGGCAGCATAAGGCATTATACACAAGATTTTAATTATGAACTGTTGGATGAAAACAGATTAAACACCTTATTTTCTGGCTTAATACAGACTAAACCTGAGTATCCTATGCTTCTGTATGAAGATTCCATGTATACATATACACATCTTTAAACCCAAGTAGTCCGTTCACATTTCTGACTGTATTTTTTCCAGGTACAAACACATTATTCGGGAATTGGAGATTTGACATTGGGTTTTTTTTCCTCATCTGTTTCTGGGACTCCAGTGGCAACAAGTATTGTTTATCTTGTGATTTGGGGTCATCTGGTAGCGTCCCAAGTGGTGAGCAGCCATGTGGCTCCAGGCCAGCAGACTGGGCATGCCCATTAAGGCACAACATTTGAAGTCATCCAGTCATCTGGGGCAAGTTATAACGGTCAAAAAGAAGCTCTTTGCTTCCACAGTGACCCAGGGCACAGCTCCAGCACCACACAACAAGTTAAAACACCAGCAGCAGATTCCTCTCGAAAGGAAAATATTTGCGGTTCACTGGAACTGCTGTGGTGATTGTTCCTAACGCAGCAGCTATTAAATAACAGTGCAGAGACAGAGGGGACAAACAGCAAGGAATTAATGGCAGCTCTCCCGCGGTCTGGAAGCGAAGAGCCAGCTGGGCTGGATCGATAGCCAGGGAGGCTGCTGTGTGGCAGGAGCTCTGCTGGCCTCACACAGATTCTTGGCTCAGCCAGTCGTCAGCAGGGTGGCAAAGATGCCTCTGTGTACTCACCACGGCATCCACGGCCGGGGAGCTGTCACCGACCACCAGGAGGACAGGACATCTGCAAAGAAGCACAGAGAAGTGGTGTTATCTCTGTGATACAGCCCAGACTTGACCTCAGCCACATTCTGTGTCGCTGGAAGGATGAGACAGTTAAGTGTGCGGAAATGATTTGGTTTGTATTCCAGACACCTTAAACATACATCAAATCCACTGCATTATCTGCAGATCCACTGACATGCTCCAATTCCTTGCCTGAGAACCTGTTCTTTTTCCCCCCATCTGGCAGCCAATCAGCCCTGCCAGTGCTCCTATTCCTTGTTTTATAAGAAATTGAATATGGGCATCAGCATCAAAGTCTCACCAACACCCTCAGGCCCCTGAGCTCCAAGATTTGGATCTGTCCATCCAATTTCAACCAGATTGCCAGAGAAGCAGTGTGTCCTGTGTGTAAACATCAGTAGCAGAGCAGAGAAGGACTTGACAACTGCTATGTTCCACAAGTTGCATAAGTGAAAAGCTGTTAGCAGACAGTCATTCTGTCACCTGACAGACAGTCATTCTCATACCTGCTCCATCTTCCTGAACATTTGAGGGTTTTGTTGTTTTGGGGGTTTTTTTTGGTTGTATAGGCACGGCTCAAGTGTGTTCAGAGCTACAGTTTCCATTAACTACAACATATTTCTGCATGAAGTTAAGTACATCACTTTTCAAGTACTTACTCTGTAAACCCAAGTCTGCAGATGCACAGTGACAGGAACTACTTAACTTACCATTTCAGCTAATATGTTTGTAAAGTCTGAAGAGGGGAAGTCTTCCTAATGGCAGACCCTGACTTGCAGTGACCTCTCATCTCCTACATGAAATTACAAGATCCTTTTCTAGCACATAAGCACATGCAGCTACAGCCTTGTAGTGCGTTTTCAATGCATCCACTGATCACACCTCTTAGCTCACATTGTGTACAAAGTGAATGGGTAGGAAATAAAGTACTTACTGAAGGGTGACAGCACTCACTCCAGGAACAGGGCGCTCAATCTCTAGGTCTCGCCGACTAAAAAAAAATGAAGAGGACAATGGCTCTTGATACACTGAAATTTTACAGATAGTTCATATTCTTCTAGCTTAGAGAAAGCACACTTCTATCTTAGAGAAAACACACATAGATATTAATCTGATATATGTAGCCTCCATAACTGATGTAGAGCCACACGTAGACTGATGATTCAATGCTTTAAGTTCAGTCCCAGTGTACCATCTTTCACCCCAGAAATGTACGAGGTCCTTCTCCCATAAGCAAACCATCTGAGATCCCTAAAGGCACTATCAAGAAGAACTTTATACTGGGGGAACACATGTAATTCCATCACACAAGTAATACTGTCTCTAAAGAGCTGGACAGTCTCTTAAAACAGTTTCCAGGTAGAAATCAGGTAAATGTATTTACCTGTTGTAAGAGTTGACAAAGAGATGAAGGTTGGTTTGATTCATATCATTAATAATATGCTGACGGTAAGTATGGATCAGGTCATGGTTGCTGTGAATCTCTTCCTAAAGTGGAGACAGAATCATTCAGAATAGGGGCTATTTTCTGAAAGGATCTGAAGACGTGGCACAGCAGTTGTGTATCAGACTCATGTCTACACAACAGGAGTGCACCTTGAGGGAAGGGACAACTTGTAGCACCTGGTGATGTCACCCAGAATTAATGTTAGCCTCTGACTGAAGTACAATTTTGCTTTAAAACTTTAGTGTGTTATAATGTCAAGATCTCACGAGTGCAAAACATGTAGTTGCAGTGCAGATGGTTATAGTCAGTCAAGTGTGTGGTTTTAAAACAAAAAAAAAAAGATTCAGGGTAAGAAACCTAATGAATGTTTCCAGGGTAAAGCAGATGTTGAAAGCTTACAAACATACGTAATGTGGAACTCAATTTCACAATAGTAAATAACTAGGCTTTGAGGACTTCAATCAGTAACATTTTCAAACAGTTTGGTTCTGAAGTCTTTATAGATTAGTTCCTTGTTCTGCTGGAATGGAGTTTTCCATTGCATTTACTAACACTTTCAAGCATAGCAAAGTAGCCTTGGAAAACAGTACAGCACTTTCCATTAGGCTTGCACTAATGGAAGAAGAACACATTAGTACTTAAAACCAGCTGTCACAGAGTTACAAGTATATTATATAAAAAAAATCTGCAGGCTAATTTAGCTCAGAATATGAGCATATACAACACTTATGTTTAAGTGTTGGCTGTCTAAATAGGGAGCTGCTCCTACTAGAGTTGTCACAACTGGGATGTGCTTGAGTCCTCAGGACACAGCAAGCTGCATGGCAGCAAACCACCTCCAAAACACTGGGAACACAAGCATGAATCCTATCTAACAGTTTAACTTTGGCATTTGTTGTTTAAGTGAAGGCTTCTCCCCTCCTTCCAGCCCCAGGAGGTAAATACAGTGACTGAATGCATCAGAGGAATCTGTTGAACATCCTTACCTTTCCAAATAGATGTGAAATGACCATGTCTGGTAAAGCATTTGTCCAACCTGAAATCTGAACAGTAAGATTATCTAAGTATCTGCTATTAAAACAATCCTCAAACAATTGAAACCTTCCAATTACCCATAAGTAGATCAATGGATGTTTCTCAGCTGTCCCTGTATGTACAATATCCTGGACTGATATTTTTCCCCCTCAATCCAACTATAACACCATGAGGGGTTGTTTATGTTTGAGTCATTCTCACAAGATGTCTTTACTAATGGAGTTATAGAGAGAACACAGTACTAGTAGCATAGGTGTATAAGGAATCATTCCCTGCAGGAGAACCAAGCAGATCAGCCAGAAGGGTGTCTTTAACCTCACTGCCCAATCTCCTTCCTAACAACCCACACTGACATTACCTTAAGCTCATGACCCACAGTATCTGCTCTTGCTTTGGAAGAGCAGAAGAATATAGGGCACCTGCTGTACTCTTAAGATTAGCACTACTTGAGAGGTGGAAGGCAGGGGCACAGATATGGAAGAGCTTAATTACAATGAATCACGGGATGAGATAATCAGAATGGGTCAACTGGTACATCTCAATGTAGACAAGTTATGAAATTTTTTTAAAATAAGTTTGCACATCAGATTATTTTGGTAAGTTTGATCTGGAAGTATATTTAGTAATTAAGCCTTGACAGAATGTTACATCCCAGCTCTGCAAGTTTCTCCTAGTATTATAAAGTTGTCATTACATTTAGTATCACTCTAGACGGATACACAATGAGTTGACTCTGTGTGTTTAGAAGATGACACACTAATTTTTGTGCTTCTCAGAGTGTTTATAATGTGACCCTGAATGACAAAGTGCCTTCCATCCATCAGTTTACCCTGAAAAATGTTTTAACAAGTTAGATCTGAGTGACATGTAATGTAACATTGATACTTATTTTTATATACTGGTTCCAGGAAGATTTTTGAAACCAGTTCTCAGTGTTTTCCCACATTGCAATGTTTCTTACAACTACAAAAGAGTAACACTTAACAGGAGCTTTCACTTAAAAGTCTGGTTGTATGAACAATCTGTCCACAGCTATGGTAGCTAATACCCTTTTCTGAGTCTTTTTGGTATCTAAGACTCAGATGATTTAAACTTGGAAGATGATATTTCTGAACATTTTTCTGGGCTCTAGTTCACCTTTAGGACTGTGCTTATAAATAAAGCAATGGACAAAAAAGACCTAAATGCTACACCATGCAAGAAGTTTACTTGAAAGCTGTTTCCAAAACTACCCTGTGTCCAGCTTAAACTATGTTTTCCCCAGCAGATCTTAAGAAATTTCCATACCCAGGAGCTCCAGTATGCCACGGGTATCCATATCTGTTTCCTCAAAGTACTTATTTTTACCACTAGCCCTGTAGGAGGTATGTTTAGAAATGGAAGAATACACCCCAAAGGAATTGGTCTGGGATATTTTGTGTCTGCAGCCATGCCTTGACACACAAGCTTGCCCAGCTCCTCATACCCAACAGCCTTGCAGTAAGATTTATTTTTCTAACTTAAAGATGTTTACCTTAGTTGCTGCCCAGTCCATCCAACCTTCAGCACAAGGGTTTACATTAATGAGAACTAATCCCTCCACCATCTCTGCATGGTTTAACTGTAAAACAAAAGATTTATCAGATATCCTTTGCAACATGACAGTCAGCAAAAAATTTAAATTAGCAAATTATCTCCTGGGGAGCAAAGCAGTAGGGTCTAGTTTTATCTTGCACAAAACAAGCATATGTATGGAAAAAAAAATTTCATTAAGGCAATTCAACTGAGCAGCTGGAGAACATTAGGATTTAACTTTTTCTCCACCCTAAGTTTAAATAGAAAACTCCCATTATAAAAACCTTCTGCAAATTAACTGGGTAGAACCCAGGCCTTAAAATGGAAAATCTAGGTCTTCTGGATTAGTTATCCTGCAGATTGTGGTATTTCACTTAAAAGCCTGACTGCTTACTTAAATGGGCACAGCAGAACAGGAATTCTCTGTGCACGCTATGGGGACAACAACATGTCAGGGAAGTTAGGTTTGAGGCTTTAGAGAAGCTCCACAAAACTTACAGCAAATCTGGTTAAGATGTAGGCACCAGCTCCAGTCCCCATTCCTATAATGGTCTTTAGCCTGCAGAGCAATAAAGCAGAAGAGACAAATGAGGAAGAGTGCTGAACAGAAATAAACCACATCAGCAGCCTTCCTCTTTCACAGGCCAGCATGTAATTACAGAAGGGTGGGCTCAGCTTGGGCAAACTGTGGACTCTCAGCAAGGAGGGTCCCAGTAAGGAGCTCAGCGGGGCAACTGGTTTGTTACTGGCAGATTTGCAGGATCCTGGTCCTCATGCATGGCAGGGCAGCAAGCTATTTTCACTTATCTTTAAGTAAATACAGTGAGCAACCATTGCATTATTCTCATTCTGGGAGGAAATGGTTAGTCTCTGACAGAAAAACTTGTAAGATACAGACCTAAAATCTGCAGCCTAACTACAACTCCCCCCTTCCCTCCCCAGTACATCTATCCAACTGGGACACTGGTTCCTCTCTAACAGGGGGCTGGCAGGGAAACATCTCCTGCTGTCCAGTCACTGGGGTGATGAAATTTAAACTTCGTAACAAAACAGGGCAGAGACAAACCAAATATTTGCAGTAACTGAAATGGGATTTAAAGCATCACCTTCAAGGTCTTAGAAAATACATGGAAGAGAAGACTAGACAAAACCACTCACAAAAGCAGGTTATTCAATGCTTTTAGGTTATTCAATGCCGAGGATAGTTTTCATTCTCGTTAGCAATATTAAATCAAGACTTTGTAAATACACTCCAGTTTAATTCATTTTCAAGGTACTAACATTACTGTTAGCACTTTTCCCTCCCGTGCAACAGAATTGACAACCCTGTGGCTTACCTCTGGCATTTCAAAACATGCAACTCTTAACTAGGGAGGTAAACTGGCCTGAGGAACTGTAGCAGCTTGTTACAACCGAACAATGCCTAACTGGGGTGTTGGTCTGAAAACTCCAGCAGCAGTCTAGCCTGTCTGTTCTCCAAGGCTGCCTAACACTGAATGCCTGTTTTTCTTTGCTTGGTCTTGAAAACCCCTTGGAGGTGTCTACCTGCTCTCTTCATTGTGTACCAGCAGCACCAGGTCTACAGAGAAGGAACCTTTCTCAGCTACAGCTCCTGCTAAACCTAAGCTTTAAGGGAGGACATACACCTAAACTTGTTGCAGGTAGACAGCTGAGGAACATGGCCACTAGGTCTTTCAACATTGGCAACCTGGCAGCTGCACTTGGTAGCAGAAGAGGCTTAAGGTGGTCGGACTGACCCACTAAGACACCCAAGTCACTGAAAAGAAACACAGCAAATGTCTTCAGATGGGGCCACATGGTTTTTTTTTCTGCTAACCACACAGGAAAACGTGGGTTGTTACAGTGGGAAGAACAGATTGTCTGTGCCCTGCCCCTGTGAGGGAGATGCATAGAAAATACTGGAGGAAGCCCCTAAATTAAGCACATGGGATTTCACTTGAAGCTGCTTCCTGTTTAAAAATAAACAGACATTTCAAAAAAGGCCAAAACCCAAGTTCTTTCAGAAACAAAAGCAAAAGCGATCCATCTATAATAGGAATCAGAAAACAACCACAAGCACAGCTCTAGCAAACAAAATTACAGACAAACAGACTCAAGATCCAGGGGCAGCATGGGTGAATACCTGCTCTGCGCTGCTCTTTCAGTGAGCCATGTAGAGAGAAGAATGAGGAAAATCAGTAAATAATTCTGCACTCACCCAAACTGTTTCAGGATTCCAGGAATCATTTCAGCCAGCTGATCCATGGAGGGATACACATACCTACAACAAGCATGTGTTGTGGAGTTACACCACGTTCAGCAGTGCAGACTGGTACATTTAGAGACACTGTGGTCACTGTAGATTTAGTACAAAATGTGCTCATTACAAGATCATTGAGTGTATGAGCTGAATTTAAATCAGGAGCAAGGACAAGTAAGTAATTGAGCATAACCTATATGGTACTTCATATGAGTTACAGGGTGATAGATGTCTTTTCCGGCTGAGAGTAAGACAGACCACAACGAATCTTTTCCAAGCAAAGTTAACACTTGAAACTTATGAAAAAGTTTGAACATGAGAGTTGAGTTTCCAACCACATTCACCAAATCTGTACTTCTGGTCTACCACAAAAAAGTTTCCCTGTGTTGCAGAATCACAGATCACAGCAATGAGATCTAGATATTTGACGAGTAACTTGCAACATGTTTTCAGGGACACACAAATTACCATAGGATGAATGAGAATAGCTTTCTATTAATATTGATGGGAAAAATGAAGGCATCAGAAGGGCTATGAAGCTGCTGAGGAAGCTCAATAAAAACAGCTGTTCATTAATGCTCCTGGTCTTCTGCAGAGCAGAAACAATTTTGAAGAAAGGAAATTCTGAGCAAAATCTCAACTGAGTAGCACATGGAAAAAAATTTGCCCAAAGTAGCTGGAAAACATCTGCCTAGGATACATTAAAATCTCTGCTTTCCATCAGGACTACACCTAATGATTCTCTAGTTTAGTGTTCAAATAAAACCAAAGAAAAAAACCAAGGTCTGCAAGTCCTTTAATTTTCTTTTATTTTCTGATTGGTAAATTAAACTTTGGCATGACAAAGGCTAGTGTCACCATAACAGTGATGGTCTGGGGAGACCTTATTGCAGCCTTTCAGGGCTTAAAGAACACCTGTAAGAGAGGGGGACAAACTTTTCAGCAGGGCTAGTCATGATAGGACAGTTGTGAGAGGTAAGGGCTTTAAACTAAAATAGGGTAGATTTATGTTAGATCTAAGGAAGAAGGTTTTTTACAATGAGAGTGGTAAAACACTGGAACAGGTTACCCAGAGAGGTAGTGGGTGCCCTGTCCCTGGAAACATTCAGGGTCAGGCTGGACAGGGGCAACCTGATCGAGCTGAAGATGTCCTTGCTCATTGCAGGGGTGTTGGCCTATGTGACTTGTAAATTTCCCTTCCAACCCAAACTATTCTATGATTCTATGACTTAACTTGCACATGTTGGCCTCCCAGTTGGAGGGCTGGTAGAGACAATACAGGTTCTTGCACTGCCATCATGAAGTTATCAAGCAGAGGTCTTTACTAGCATAGATCATGATGGCTGCCCATGCAGCTGACAACTTAGAAGTGTTAACACTTGTTCAGGACATGAGGGTTAAGACACTTAAAAGCTCATGATTCGAACAAACACAAAGAAGGGTGACTAAAATAGCCTTGTAGGCTGCTCTGATAGGCAACTGGGCCACTGCAGTTAAACACTAGCTGAGAACCTGGCCCATAGTGACCTCCTCAGCATCAGACCAGATTAAAAATTAAGAAGGGAAATAGACTGGCTCATGCAATAATGGTACTTATAAGCTCCTTAATACGTACTTCACACAGAACAACTGGTCCTTGCCTCATATCCTCCCCTTGACATATTGGCTGTTCCCTTCTTCAACTGAGCTAATTCCTACCTAAGGGGCATCTCAAGGTAAACCTGTCTCATTTGACTGAAAGGGGACAAACACTTTGGCAAAGACAGTGCTCATGACACACAAGGTTTCTAAGAGTTACAGCATCCATACATGGTACACAGTTAGGTGTATGCAGCCATCTACGATATTCTGTGGGGGTACATCACTTTACTACTGTCCAAGAACTTGGATTTTCCAGGTAGGTTATCAAATCTACTTATCAGCATCTACCATGCTGCCATTTCATAAAACCCCCACAGATTTAGGAAGAACACGATATAGTGGTTAATGCCTATCTTGTTTATAGTAATAATTTAGTTATGTATTTTTAATCAGGCTGTCATTACAAAACAAGGTAACTCAGTATTTAAACTGACAAGATGTCAACATCTGTCAAAGACCTGCTTTACAAGCAGTTTAGTTATCGGAGCAAAACCATAAAATTACAGCCCTAAAGTCTCCTGTGAACTGGCATAACACAACAGAGCACCCAAAGCTCCAGTGCTTTAGAAACAGAGTCAGGATTTAAGTTCAAAAGCCAACTACGGTGTTGGCTGCAAGTACTTTTTAATGAAATTGCATATCAAGACACTTTTTTTCCAGAAAGATGATAACTCAAAGCATGGGCTGTTTACCTAATGACTCACCCAGTTTGGAAAGATGGTGCTCCATCCTGCTGACCAGGTGCATCCACATGGCAGACTGCAAAGTGCTGGGTGATTTCCTGCATATCCTCAAAGTTGAAGAGAGGATTGAAGCAGGTTTTATCTTGAGAAGAAAAGGAAAATATGGAAGAATCATGCTGAGGGAAATAGTAAGTTCACAGCTATAATAAAATTATGTATTAACATATCCTGCATGTTAATGAAAAGTTGATTCAATTGGGTCAGTGATGTAGCTTGGGAAATGTGGCAATCTTATTTCAAAGGAGAAAGGACAAGTAAAGCCCTGTTACAAAGCAGCCTATGCCAACTTGCTTTAATACCTTGAAGCATAAACCCTCCTTCCTCATAAACAAGAATAAACAACTCCTTCCTCATGACCAGCTAAGGTTTGTCCATGTTATTGTGGTACCTGTCAGAAGTATTTTATTCTTTTTGCAAAGTTAAAATAATAATAAAATGCAGTCACGGATACTCATTGTAAGTTTTGGCTTAGATTAAATTATCCATTGCCTTGTCCAGTTGTGTCAAAACAGATGGAGGAAAAAAGAATCCAAGGCTGAGATCATGTTTTGTGCTTTTACCCAAATATTACAAGATAAACATTACGTGATTGACCACTGCATGCAGCTCAAGACAAAAGCTTCCTTCTGAGATACTCAGTGCTGTAGGCTCCCAATTTAGAGGTGATTTGATTTCTGATTTCTAAGCAATATTAATGTGGGCAGAGGATTAGCATATTTACCTCCTAGAGTGCAAAGCAACATCCCTGAGATGCCTAGAAAGTGGTTCAATATTCTGTGTGTGTTTCTGAACGTCTGCATGCTACAACATATGTGCAAAATCTTTGCAGAATATAAAATACTTTTAGCTCAAATCAACTTAAGGAGAATATGCAAGTTTGGGAAAAATTTCCCCCCTTTTCAAATGGAGAGAAAGTTTATTCAGTTTAAAGAAAGACTTTGTAATTCTATAAAGAAAAAGGTCTTATTTAAAGATGGGATCCAGCTTAAGCTCTGCCCTGGACCACTGAAAATTAAAAGTAAAGTAAGACAGTTCCAAAAAACAGGTAAGAATGCTGATTTTTTTTTCTTATGAGAAATATCTGCACCTCAGCAATAGCCAGACTTTAAAGTTCTGCAGGTGTTTTCAAATAACAATAACTGATTAAGAAACAGTCATTTGTGTAGAGCAAATAGTACTGGTGTAAAGAACAAATTAGAGCAGGTCTGGATATTAGTTTATTATATGACAGATAAGATAAAAGGCACTAAAAGCTTTTTTCTTAATACTGGCTAAGGACACAAAGCCAGCACTCATTTCATCATCCTGAATGGATATGTAATTCATAAAAATCCATGACAACACAAGACTCGTTATCAGACAGGAACCTATAGCAAAGCCCCAGCAGTGTTGCTTTGAGTCCTGTTGTCAATACACCCTCAGCCTCCCCTAGAGAGCTTTTTACAGCATTTATACACAGTTGTTATGAACTATGAGATGCCTTTTGCTCCTTTAACTGAAATATTCCAATTATTTACTTAGCAAGGATTAAAAAAACCCCTGAAAATTAAGGTTGCTGTACGAGAGGAGTTAGGTGCCATCTAACAGGTTGCAATGCACACAAACAAGCAAGGACCTGGGAAAGGTTTCCTAACCATCACCACTTCCACACCTCTGATTACGGCAGAGTTGTTATGGAACCAGGACATACCTGTACCTGGTAAAAAGTCTACTTACGGTTCAGCCCGATGTCATGGTAGGTGAGGATAGCTGGCCGATTGCCCCTGGGAGTCCCACACATGGTGACATGGACTGAACCATGCATGGTCTCTATGTCTTGCTCCTGGAAGAGAACAGGAAGAATCTGTCAGGGGATTGTCCAAACACTCCACACCCACTGCAGCAGACCTTGTCCGACCATGAACACGGGTCCTGCCCCATCCCTGGGTCTGCTCTGCAATCCCATGCTAACATCCTCCACTCTCCCATGCAGTGGGGGCTCCCTGCTAACATCTTACATTTGGCTGCCATCTACTCCAGTCCACAGACAACTACAGAAGCACTTAAGGTGCTAGCTCTAACCAGATGCTAAGGGAATAGTTAAACAGTACTTAACCTCACTAAAAAGCAACATAAGAAAAAAGAAAGAAAGCAGTTTGATGTAATGACACCTGTAATAACAGGAGCTTACAACTATGACTCTCAACATCTGCAAAAGTGCAAGTTGCCAAGAGAAAATACTTCTGTTTTCTAGGAAAAGGACTTTAACTTAGCAAATAACTACTATTCTGCAAAGAAAGGAGTACTAAGTAGCCTGTATTTGCCATAAAGACCTGTCACACTGTGGAGCCTTGTGATTGTAGTAGCCTTCCCCAATAAAAACAACAGCCACACGTGTTTAGCTCTATGGCTTAAAATGTACAGACCTGAGCATAAACGCAGTTGTTTAAAGTTTGCAATAGAGCAGAAAAACCACAACACTGTTGTGGTGATTATCAGAAAAGCAATGTTAAGAAGCATACTTCTATTATTTGGCATACCAGGAGTTTGCCAACAACTATTTAATTGTTTTAAATCCAAAGACACCTCCATTGACAAATCAAAGTCCTGCTGAGTACCATCTTTTATTTATTGGACCTCTGTGTAAGTCAGATGTGATTTGGGTCATGCCTAAGTTACACAACAGATGGAATAGCTTTTGTTTCTCTTGCACTTGAACTTCAGAGGGGCATAAACAATTTGCTATTTTACCAACATGTATAAAGGGAATCACAAACCAACAGTTAATTATGACAATTATTTACAGTACCGTTACACTCACACAACAGTCAAGGCAGTATGTAGGTAGTAGCCAGTCTTAGTATCCCATCAGAATACTTTATTTACTGTACAGGACACAGATAAGATAATGATCCATGTCATTCAGTACAGTCTAACAGCTGCTGCTGCAAGGCTTGCTTGACTTGCTCCATGCAGTAACGCCCAGAGACAAAGTCCAAGTTAAATTCAAATCTATTAAAAGTTATGCTGTAGAAATCAGAAGCATACAGTCTCTGCAAAAGCCTTTAAAAAAACCCTCTTCAGAGATCTGAGGTAGTAAACCAATCTAAATCACATATCCTTAATTTGATACAAGGAATACACTGTGCATTTTGCTGAAAATAAGGGTTCTAGGCAATGCCACTCCACATTTCACCTGCTTCTCTTGCAATTACACAATTGAATCAGTTTTAAGTTACAGCTACAGCAATGAATCAAGATCTACCCCCGTTTGTACACCGGGTGAGCTGAGCACCACTGCTATCTGAACTATAGTCCATTGAAACTCTAATTTTCAGCTTTTATGTCTCCTTAGAGACTCGTTCCTCTGCATACTCACTGCATTATTTAGCAGGTAAGCCGTATCTTCCATATCCAGGACCATCTTTAAGCAAAACAGGGTGATAAATCCAGTAAGTCAGACAGAGAACTGGTAGCAGGTTTCTACTTCGTCCCAGTAGGAAACTGGGTTATATAGACAAGCTGCTATCCTACATAGGCTTATGACTCCCATAATGCCCAGCTAGGAAAACCAAAACAGACTAATTCACGAGGATGTCATTCTTAAATAGGATTTGAGTCAGGTTTGACCAGGGGAAGTACGTACTCAATAGAGCTCAGACATCAAAGATGAACTAAGTCCCTGCCACACAATGTATGAAGTGCCAAATTTCAAACCTGGGAATTAGCATAGTCTCTCCTGTTGCTATTTCCGTCAAGTTTTGTGAAGTTCAGCTTCATTTCATGTTTTGTTATCTCAAATGCTAAAACACCCCAAACTTATGCTAAATTAAATCAGAAGCCAGTTCTTTCCTAAAAGCCAGGGTTAAACTTTCCAATACAAACACAAAAGACTTCCAAAAATTAGTGTATGTCAGAATGATTATGCACAACAAAACCAAGAACTTAAGTGTTTGAAATCTAGTACTTTCCAAAATCGACAAGCAACATTTAGTCTAAAGCATTCTACACCATCACAATAATGTCACTAATTTGAATTTTTGGCAGAAAATAGGGTACTGTACATTATACATTCGGTATGTCATTAACACATACTATTAAAATAAAATCACAGAGTCACAGAAAGACTTGTGTTGGAAGGGATGTTAAAGAGCATCAAAGTATAACCCCCCTGCCATGGGCAGGGATGACACCCACTTCAGATTGCTCAGGGCCCCAGGAATATTATACATCATATATTTGATATATAATTGGGTGTTGTCATTATACAGTACCCCAGAAGATATTTGCACTGGCAGTAGATGGCAATTAATAATAGTGGCAATTAACATTTTCCACATTCTGCTCCCCTTCTGTACTTAGATAATTTTCAACACAAAGCATAAAAATCAGTAATTTGGCAACCTCAACACTGTAATGAGAGTAAGGAATATTGTGTGATGTGCCTCCTGCTGAGTGTGGAAGACAGAAATTATTTCCTCCTCATAAACTAACATGCATTTCATATCAACAAATTTTCACTGCTAAAGCCTTCCAGTAACAGCACTGAAAATCCAGAATGTGTTTTCTTTGCATGGACCACCTTCAAGATTTGGCATCTTCCTCCTTCATGCATGAAAGAAAAAAATCTGTTCACGGTAGATAAAGTCAAACCCTTGAACCTGCACATCCCACTGACCATCACAGCTAATTCTTCTGAAACTAGAAAGCCAAGTCTAGTTCAAACTCAGTGTCAACTAAAAATAGTTCAGAGACGAGAGACAACCAAGCTCCCAATTACTGGCATAAAACACAGTCAGTTTAACAATTGGCTTAATTCCTCATTATCTTCACAGTAAGACTCCCCTAATTCAAAAGAGTTGTGCTATTTTCCAGTAGTGTGAATTCTTAATGGCACATACCCACAAGGTACTAAAAAACAATCAATTTAAACCAGTTTGTTCAGTGACATCAAACCAACAACTTCACATCCCTATTGATCCTATTAAAGATCAAGAGATTTGTCTACGTGATGTAGGGATGGATGTTTTCAAAATGCAGAGCACTGAAAACAGATGGCAGCACATCCCAATCAACATCAACATTATAGTAAGAGGCTCTTCACCAACTGATTTGTATTAAAACACTATCTTGGAAAAAAATCCAAGGTACACTAATCCGATAGAAGGATAAAGACAAACACACCATCTGTTCACATCTCTCACTTTAACAGAGGTGCAGTCTTATCTTAGTGCCTTAAAAACACACAAATGCATGTAGTACATGCAATTTAAGGGAGGCTGCCTCAGTTTGAAGGAGCTGATGAATTCTAAAACAGATTTTATTTTTGCTTCAAGTGACATTTTATTTTTTCATGAGGTTACAAGGGGGACACAATTTGTTATCACACAGGAGAGCTCATTTACTCCTTTCCCTCTCTACCCTGGCTAAGGAAGACACGGATTGAGGAACGTGTTTATGAACAAGGTTCATAAACCGATTGAGGAACGTGTTTATGAACAAGGTGTTTTCTGGAGGAAGGGATATGCAACCAAAATGTCATAGCTATCTAAAAATGAAAACTGCACACACATTTCACATTTTGCTAAATACATCACATTCTATACTTTAAGTAAAATACTGCCTTACATCAAGATGATTTTAAAGCTTTCAAATATACTTAATCCTCAATTACAAACTCATGCTTTTATTTTAATTTATAATATTATGCCTGTTAAATGCAACTCTTTTCTCTTGCCTCAGAACTGAGGGAAAAGCTTCAGAGCTTTTAAAGAGGATTTAAATAGCTTTTAGATTGCTAGGAGACAGTATATTTTAAGTTATATTACTTAAGAAATTTAGTATAGTAATACCTTTGTAGGCTACTTTTCACTTCTTTTTTCAACATATTGATGATCAACAATATTCGAGCTTTTAATGTGGCATTTCAATGTTGGGTTTCAAATCCCCTTTGCCCTGAAGTTACTTCGCAATCTTTTTCCCTGTATTTTTCTACTCTAAAATAGGATTTCAATTAGTCTAATGTTTTTCTGGAAATGTGGTTTTAGGCATTTTTCTTTTCCTTTTTGTGTTGTTTTTTGTTTAGGTTTGGTTTTGGGGGGTTTGGTTTGCTTTTTTGGTTGTTTTTTGGGGTTTTATGTTTGCTTGCTTGCTTTGCTTTTGGTGTTGAGTTTTGGGTTTTTTTTAATGTGGATTTTTTTTGTGCTTTTTGTTGGAGCTTCTTACGTTTTTTTAAGATTTCTGTATTAAATTAGCAAAATTAAGAGTTTTCTCAATTCAGGTTGTAAGTCAGGTACATTAATAAGGTTGATGACTTCAGATGTAAATGTAAGTGACCCTGCTAAGATGGAAATCAATAACAAAAACTTTGGTGCAGGAACTGATGCTAATTATTGTGATGGTTCTGCCCAGGGATTCTTCCTAGTCCGATTAACACTGGGTCACACTGCTCTGCCAAGTACAAAACCACAACCACCCCCATTTCTTTCCTTCAGAGAACTAGAAGGATGAGGAAATCCACATAATGCACTGCAACGCCCCAAACGGTATCCACCGATGCCAGGAGGAAACCCATGCCCTCATGCCACAAGGACCAGCTGATTCACCTCCTGTTGCTCTCTCCTTCTATCCGAAGAGGCAGGACGAGGAGGTAAAGCAGAAAAGGCTCTTAAGTGCCAGGGGATACAGATGGCTATAAGCCATGGATTGCAAGGGACAAACTCATCTCTGCCACCTACAGCTAGCACATAAATCTGAACGTTTTGCTTAGTTACTGAGAAAGCAGTGTCCTGATGGGCTGAAAGACTATACACAGTGACGAGGAGCCAGGTCTGCACTGGCTCCAACACTAGTGAGCTAGAGAATAGGCAAATACATCAAACTGGAAATACAATTAAAATGTGCTTGGTACAAAGCCAACATAAAGCAGCACAGGGCACTGTGCCCTGCATCGGTTTATCATTAATTATGCTAAAACAGGTTTGGTCAGGAACACTTCTTTTTTTGAGAGGTAGGAAGCTTCACTTCAAGTTTCAGGTGGGTGGCACAGACAGACATAGTAACAGACACCATGTGCTGAGGTAGTTCATAGCTGTCAGTTATTCCATCATGGTCATGATCTGGTAACTTGATGAATGCTTTCTCCTGAGAATAACCACATACACATTTTGCAACACATTCTTTCAGAAAGGCAACATTGCACTACACAGTGGTTTACTTCAAAACTGAGAAAGTATGTTTAACTCAAGTCTGTGTAAAACAGCATGTGAAATAAGAGTCTATTTCTTTTCAAACCTGAATAACTAGATAAAATTTATTCTTGGAACCGAAACACTGCACAGGTAGTCACTACTTTTCTCTGGTGGCTGAAACAAAGTCATTACCTGAACACTGCATAACTTGTCCCCAAAAGGGCCGGGCAAGCTGCAGTGGGTATGGTGGACACCCACATTCATACACAGGCATTGAAAAACAAGCTCTTGCCAAGCACTGCTCATCTCCTTCCCTGGCCAGGCCTATCCTCCTCCCAAGAGTGGCTTATGGCACAGGTTGCTCACTAAGAGCATGGCTGAGCTTCAGTATCAGTCCTAAGTGACCTGGGTCCTCCAGGGCCACACATGAAATTCTCTAATGAACTAAGCAATCAAGGTTGTCATAACAGCACCAAAACACCTCTTCCATAAATCAGCCACAGAGGAACTGAAAGACACATAGGTAGAGTACTTGTGGTTTTAAGGACCAAAGCTAAGCCTCCTTTGCAGCCAGCTCTTAACATAATGCATTGAGACTGTTCTTCCACATTTTTCCTTCTAGAACTAGAATAACCAAAGATTAAACTCTTAACAAAGAAAGATCATTAAAAAAGCAAGAGCTGGCAGAACACGGTGAAATGACAAGAACCACTTCTCTGGATTAGTGACATTTAATCCAAAACATGGGGAAAAAAAACCAAAAAGGCTTAGAGAATTTGATCTTGCAAGTTAAAAAACCTATATATACACAAGGTTTACAAACCAAGCAATTTATTCCAAGAATAGAAATGAAATATGGGTCACTTCTGGATTCTTAATCAAAATACCACAGTATTCCTGTTAGCAGGCTTAATCTGGGATTCAGATTTATTTAGACCAAGTAAGTGATCAATCTGGACCCACACAGAAAGCTTCTCCCATGCTGTGCACAGTTCTGCAAGAAGCCACATGGCGACAACTTCAACTTATATTTATCAAGAGTTCAGGCAGTGGATTTCATCATTAGAAAAGATAAGGGGGAATGTGCAGGATTAATGCAAAGTACAGTTTTGCTGTGGAAGTAAGAACCATGGAAAGATTAAAAGTATGTCCAAGATAACTGTGTGCCTTAGTTTCCAAGGAACAGACTGTTGAGTTTGTGCTGTATTTTTTAACCAATGTGCACAACATTGAGTAACAATATAGACAACTGCTAATAAAACACATGAAATAAAGAAGGGTTATTTCCTTCAAGGACCTCTGCCAGAACATTCAAAAGACTAGAAAAATTCAATAGCTTTCCTTATTCTTGCACAGTCTTCCTCCATTTCTATACCCCTTGATAAAAATGAGATACCCAGTGAGCCTCTTCTCTCAATACATACTCCTTGTCCCCAGCAATGGGAACACACCACTCACTCTTTTAGTCATGGCAGGTATAAGCTCCCTCTTCTCCCTTCCATATCAACCCAGCCTGATTCCTGTAGCTGTTGATTTCCTTAGTCTCAGCTTAAGAACCAGCAATGACAAGCTTTTCAGTCAAAAGCCCAAAAGGCAATAAAATAGGAGGAGCCAGGAGAGTTACCAAGTTGTCTCTCAAAATCATGATACACAGGGAAAGTGGAGAGCCACCATGAGACCTAGTGGTGTGCTTTATGAACTCTTCTGTTCTGGCTTTAAATAAACATACAGAAATACCATCACTCCTATTAGAGACAAAATTGACTGCTTAGCACCTTCCACCACCCCACAAGCCTCAGGAATCTTTTGGACAATTTCAACAGCATAACGGGATGCATCCAGAGGAACATTTCCTCTGGGGAAATGCATGCACACTGCTAATGAAAGCAAATTAATTGGGGAAAGTGTGTGTGTCCATGTGGGAGGGGAATATATTGTTCTCACTACCACTGCTGAAGATTCTCGTTCTCTTAGCAAGAATAGAAATGCTTCCAGCCCAGCCACCCCTTTTGAATGAAACTTTCTCAGCTCCAGTGTGAAAAGACCTCCTGTGGTCCCCTTCACAGCACTATGGCACAGCCCCATTCAGACTCCTCTCCCACAGTAACAGCATTTCTGGCAGCAAGCAGTCCCTTCTGGTCACATCTCACTGTTTTCTCAAATGTCAATTCAGCCTCTCCTTTTACCAAAAGCCCAAAAAATATAGTAGCTTTACTTGCCTGAACATCGAAGTCTGGAAGGAGGCGAGTGATAGCCTGCAAAGAGATTTTAAAGTATTACTGAAAGTAACTTGCAGGTACAGAAATCTGTGCTGGGACATGCATTCTAACCCATTGGTTCTGTAGCTGGGAGCTCTGTCCTGTCCCTTCATTCAATGAAAGCTCTCTTAATGAATGTCAAATTCACCCAAGAGGTTTTTCACCCACTAATCATCACAGAGAATGTGAAAGCAGTAAAATACTAGATTACAGATGAGCAACATGAAGCACAAAAGCTGGTGCATCCTCACTGAACAATATATTCACAAGGAACAGTAAAACACAATTTTTCCCATCACTTATTGTAGCCATGGGACAGCCAACAGCCCACCTCAGTCCTGCCTAGGATGAAAAGTCACTGTTCAGGCATGCACTGAGCACTTGCAACTAGTTAAGCAGTCATTACTGGGATCTGGCTACATGATGTGGAAGGTGGGAAGGGATTTTATCCTAAATTAGTCTTTGTAGTGTCTGGAAGGCTGGCTGGACACAGAGATCCATTCCAAACTCTGAGCAGCCATAGCTATTAATGAGAAGGTCCTCCATCTGTCAAGGTGCTCCACCAGGAAAGGAGTTAAGTGTCATCCTCCCCACCTCCAATAGTCTACAAGGCTTATAGCTTCAAAGGAAGAAGTGTCTTATAGCACCTCCAATAGTCTACAAGGCTTATAGTTTCGAAGGAAGAAGTGTCTTATAGTCACCTGCTTTTATTAAAACTCAATAAAGAAGTCAAACTCCTATTTCCACCACAGCTCTGAAAACATAAGGAAGAGCAGTCAAGCAAATACTTCATGCTGCAAAGTATGAGAGAGGCCAAAGCTTGAAAAAAATTGAGATAAAAAGGAAAGCTTAGAATCCTGTCAAGGTCCCTCAGCCTCAGAAGCCCAGATAAATTAAGGACAGGTGTCAGAAGCAATACAGCTGCTGTCTTGGGTAGTATCATCTCAGATGGTGGACCTCAAAGCATTGCAGCCCTCGAGAGCAGTGATCTTTAGGCAGTTGGTGGACCTCAAAGCATTGCAGCCCTACCTGTAATTCTGACAGAACTCGAGAGCAGTGATCTTTAGGCAATTAGGCAGTGTCTAGTACATAAAACCAAGTAGCTAAAGAGCTGACTGGGCTTGTAGAAGTCATTTAACACAGCCTTAGCTTTAAGCAACACACTGGGTTTTAATCTAACTATACTGTTGGTCGCATGACCTTTTAAACATAACATTACATCCACTGTTGTTCCAGTGGGACCTAGAGTTGAAAGGAATAAGCATATGTGGCATCTGTACTGACAGCATATGAAATAAGGCTGACAACTGTTCAGGAATGAAGACTTGGCTGTAGCAGAAGCTCAGGCACACCAAGCCAGAATGTGACTCCAGAGTGCATCACCCACTCAAAACCAGCTCCGCTGTTAACCTTAGCATGTGCTGATTGTCCTTCAGGGCAACCTTTTCCACTTTCTCAAAATACATTAAATAACTTCATCTGTGTTACGAATGGCCACAGGAGAAATCAAACTCTGTGCTAGTTTCCTCATGTAGACAGAATTTAAAGTAACATCATGAACAAAAGCATATAGGATTCATGGTCAAGATTCCAGCTTTTGGCCTACATGCTACAGAAACCCAGGAAGTTAATCTGTGTGTTAAGATATTTCTGAACTTTAAAGCAAAGGCGTTTCAGTACCAACAGGACTTCTGCTTAGTGTCTCCTTTGCTTTGCTACTACTGAACAATATGGGCCTTAGTTTCTGAAAAGTTTGAGTGCTGCATTCACTGGTATCCAAACAAGCTCTGCTTTCATGCAGTGTTCTTGGAAAAGAAACTGCATTTAAAGTTTCTCTAACAATTTCACTGCAGTCACAAGTGGAAATGATTTGCTGAAGTGTTTATGCAAAAGAGGTAGGGAATAAAAAATAAAGTAGCAGATAGAGAAAGGAATTCTAGGGTAGAAAACCAGGAAAAAAACCAACACATTTATACACATCATTGTCAAGAACTAACATCATTTGGGAACAAGAGAAAAATCTAAGTTTTGATTCAAGAAAAAAAGGCTGAGAGGTTTCTTCACATATTACAGTGAACTATTTGCCAAGAACATACCAAAGCAGAGTATTGCTACCACCGAAGAGTCAGACAGCCACTGAACCCAGATGCTGTTGGCAGATTTTTGAAAAAAATGGTGCAAAAATAAATGGAAAGTAGTACAAGAAGGTTAAAGGAAAAAAATCCCACCTAACACAAAACCAAAACCAGGCTAAGATATTTCTATGCTGCAACCTCAGAGGTTGCAACAGGCTGTGGGTTGTGCACACCCAGCTGGCTGCAGACCAGGCAGTTGGGCTGAAACTCATAGCTCAGTGAACTCAGAGAGGACTAGATGGGGCTCAGCCCTACCCGTGGAGTCAGATGTGCCCAAAGAAAACGTAAAGGTCAGAGAGGACTAGATGGGGCTCAGCCCAACCTGTGGAGTCAGATGGGCCCAAAGAAAATGTAAAGGCTCTCTCTGTGCCTCCCTGAAAGGTGGCTGACAGAACAAACACTGTGTCTTTCCCTGGAGAAGTCTATTGATACAGACAGATGTACATGAGATAGCTTTATTGAATGATGCCAATTGGGCAAAACACAGCCAAAGCTGTCATTTTTCAGGGAAAAACAAATGTCACCCCCACAATTAAGAGAAGAGAAAAACCAAACAGCAAGAAAGAACAAATAATTAAGGCTCAGTTTTGCATTACTTTTAAAAAAAAAACCAAATAATTAAGGCTCAGTTTTGCATTATTTTTAAAAAAAAAAAAAACCCTGGACAAGCTAGTCTTATTCTGTCTCCAGCTTTTCTTGTTCCTTCCATATGGTTTGTTAGAACTAGATTAAGAAAACAAGAACAGTTCCAACAGCAGCCCTGACAAAACATATAAGCTCTAAAAGCTTTAAAATAATTACCTCCTCCTTCTCCACCAGAGGTTTCACCTCTGCAAGGTGAGCATCCTGGAACTCTGTTGACATGGTCAGTAGCTGATATCTGCAAAGATGAAAAGAGATTTGTTCTCAGCTTGCATCAAAGATCAAATACAGGAACAAGTAGAGATCCTGCTCCACCCAGTCACTCCCCCATTGACCCACTCTCTCAGGTTAGAGTTTAAAAGACCTCTGCAGAAACGCTATGAATCTCTTGTAAAATGCCTCCCTGGTTTATTTATATACACACTCCCGCACAATACGAGATTAAAGAAATATTAGAGCTGCAAGATCAAACAAAAGTTTGGCAGCTTCAAACCAGGGAATGCTGAAGGAAACAGGGCAGGGACCAGAGTCCTGGAAACTGTCATTCCACAGGTGAAAGGAGGTATAGCTAAATCTGCACAAGCTACCTTCTGAAATTTGCTTGGCAACTTGTTCCTGAAAACGTTTTTTAAAACTGTCATTCCACAGGTGAAAGGAGGCATAGCTAAATCTGCACAAGGTACCTTCTGAAATTTGCTTGACAACTTGTTCCTGAAAACCTTTTTTTATAATTATTTACTTATGCAATGCCCCCTCTCTATCCCCCAGATTTTTACTGCAAGAAAACTGCACCAGACACTCATTAGCATAATTTTACTCTGAGATTTATGTGCTCCATTCTTTGGGACAGATAAAAATCAGATACTCCTTTAAGTGGACACCAACAAGGTACATGCAATAATGCTATTTTCAAAACTGTCAAAGGAAGGAACAGGATTGCTATACTCAGCTCCAGGACAGAACTGGCATTGCCATATCCAGCCCTGGACTGCAGGATGCTTAACTGGGAATACAGACAAGGCCAAACCCCAGAAGAGGCAACTGCCAAGGCAGACAGAGCCATAGGCTGTGCTGCAGGCACAGTGTGTGTTCTGTGTTGGGACCAATGGGCACCTCAGTTCAGCAACCACATCAGTCCAAACTGAGACTTAAAAAGAAGAACAGCAAATTTTCATTATCTTGACAAAGATAAGGTGCAAGAGGCAGAAGGCTGTTCCCTGTGAAGCTCTAATGAATGACCTGAAACAGTTCTCAAAGGAGATACTGGAACTGTTGTAGCAGCAGGATGAGAAATACAAAAGTCAAAGTATGTTTATTACAGATCCCCTGGCCTGCTGAAGAAATGGTGGGTTTGGCCATCTTTAATAAATCTCCAATTTTGTCAATCTACATAACTATAAAACAAATCAGGTATTCACTTTTTAAGAAAAGTTTAGAACTGTCTCTTCACTTAGAAGTGAAGCATATGAGAAGTGTCCTCATAAAGCAAGCCAAAGGGCTGAAACCCATTTAGGAATTATACAGTGTAATTGCACACATTTTTAATTATCAACAATTTTCCTGAAGATAAGCATAGAACTACAGAGCAAAACTCACATCGATTCACTAAACCATAATTTTGCATCTCCTGACTTAAATCTGATTTAAGCCAATCAGCCCTGTCTACATAAATGACCTGGTGCTCAAAAAGGGCTGTGAAGCCCATGGGAGCATCCAGGCAGTGGCAGCAGCTTCGTTTTTCATTCCACCCCATAGGTTAACTTGATGCACTTGTCCCTAGGCAAAGATGCTCTAGTGACAGTTTGCCAGAGAGCTGTATGCTACAGGAAGCTCTGAAGGGACACACTCAGACAATGAAAGTTAATGCTGAAGAAACGTGGGCGTCCATGCACGTGCAAACAGCTTCAGATTTTAGGAGCCCTTCTTGCTAGCTACGAAATTGGGAGGATTTCTGGTAAAGAATTAGACTAGTGACTCTATGCTTAGCAAAATGCTTCATGAATATTTTATCCCACCACTTGAGGAACAGGGACAGGACAAAAATTGACCCCATTGCCAGTGCTGTGTAATCCAAATTTACAACACAGAGATACTTAACTAGTCGGAGGAATCAAGACAGAGTTAGTTCACTGGCAGTCACTCTGATTCACCCTTTTTCTCCAGGTTTTCCATTGCTTTGTCCATTACAGATTTTAATCATAATGAACAAGCAAAAACCAAGTTGGCAAAATTTCAAACAACTTCAAGTGACATTTTAGTAATAACTTTACATATTTTTGTTATTACAGCCATCTACGTAATCTGCCATTCCACGCAGTCAGCAACTGTGCATGGCATGCAGGAAAAACAAATGCTGCTGCAATATCTGTAGGCCAAAAATATTCATATTCAATTGTATCCAAGTCAAACACCTTTTATTTTGCAATTCAATGCATTATGTTAAGATAGAAACAACACCTTAATGTTGCATTTAATTATGCAACAGGGACTGGAAGTGCAAGTGATTTTTCTGTGGCTTGCCCATAGGTGAGGGTAGTAAAAAGTCAGGTCCCCCACAGTTTTCCAGTAGGAAGTGGTTCAGGGAACAGAGCTGCAGCTAGTGTTTGTGGAATAAAGTTGTTTACACAGGATAGTTTCAGATTTTCAGGGACTCGGAGCATTGACTACAAATGACCAAAAAAAAAGCTATGCCAAAAGGGAACAAGATGGATGCCTTTTATAGCCTTAAAAAACAATCCTGTTTTCATAACAGTTCAAAGTTGTTGCTCTATGTTTCCGAAAGAGCCAGCACTAGGAAGTGCTGACCAGCAGATTACACGACTCCCATCAAGTCTGCTGAACAAAAGCCCAACATAGACCATTTTCACTTTTGGAAGGATACCATATCTTGGAGCCACAAAATGTTTTCAGATCAGACATTTCCAAGCTCTGGATTTCCCTCCTGTGCATCGGGAATACCTGAAACATTCCTACCAAGCAACAACCTTGTGATAAGGCAGCACAACAACATGCTATTTGTTCACAAGAGCTGGCAAACAAAGCCCTGCTATCTGACAGCACTGTAAAAAACATCTTATTTTCCAAGGAGAAAGATGGGGAAGTGGCTTTGTACCACCCTTGTTCAGCACAAATTTTATGCTCTCTAAATAGGTGCTTTGTGCTCCCCCCATTATGTGACAGGGCAGCTTGAAGCTAGTGTAACTGCTTAACTCTCCTAAACAGATAACCATACAAGCATCCCTTTATACACATTTCAAAGCACTTGCCTCACAGAAGTCTTCCAAATACAAAGTTCATTTATATCTGCAAGCAGCAGTGTAAAGTTGCCAACTTGGAGAAAAACAACTTTTTTTTCACTCCACTTGGCTAATTTGGCCTGCTGAGAGGTCCCAAGCTCTCCTTTCCAGGGTAAGCCACTTCTACTCAGTGGACACCCACCACCCTGCATGCAGACACCTGCTGTAATAGCTGCTCAGAGGATTAAGTTTGAAAACAATCATACTTCTAAGAAAAAGCTAAAGGTTTAAAACACCTCTGCGAGTGGCAAAGTGCTTTAAAACTGATGACATATCTAGCTTTGCTGACTAGCAAGAGGGGCATCAAACCAGCCTCTAGGAAGCAAAGGGGGGTGTGGAGAAGGGTGAAGTCATCTGTGTTTACCAATTTCATTCAAAGAGGCTTTTCTGTACTCATTCCAGCCCAAACCCACTGCTCCAAAACCACTGCAGCAACTGCCATAACCAGGGTTAGTAGTTCAGAAATCTGTATGAGTTGTCTGATTATTTTGATATTAAAGATTCAGGACACATCCCCTGTCCCTCTGCATCATCACAGGAGGGACAGTCATTGCTGGAACCTTGTTTTGGTAGCAGAAGATACAGGATGAATATGAAGCTTGGGTTTGCACAACAGAGGAGCTAAGAAGCCCCATCAGGCCATTCATCCTTAGATTCTGGCAATGCTGCAATCACAAATACACATTAGGTAATATGCATATATGTGACTGAAATAATTTCAAGCACAGAAGCAAATCAAGTTCAAAGATCCCTCATTTCAAACTTCATACTTATGAAGACACACATTGGGTTGTCCCAGTTTGTGCCATGGGATGCATCATCAAGTGCAATGGCCTCACCCATGAAGGGGTTGGGGGCACTGCTACCAGCACTACAGGATTTACCTCTGCCCTCATATGCAACTGGTTTTTATTTACATGCTATCATAGAAAACAAAGAATAGGAAAAGACTCCTGCCTGAGTGTTTCATAAAGAAGGCAATTTCCTCAAAACTGCTTGTTTAAACACTGGAAACAGAGATTATTTTCCTTTTGAGTACTGATGCATAGAAGGGTAACCTCACCAGAACAGCCTGACAGCATTCTCATACCTGCAGGCTGAGTGAGCAGGAGGGACAGCAATCACTTTTCATATGGGACTAAATGCTTCTGAGCATCTAATAGCAAAGAGGGGATGACCCATGGGCACTGAGGGTTGCAGCTCCCAAGCACTGGTGTTGCTCTTTTTGAAGAAAGGGACCATATGAGACTTGGGCTCCAGGGCAACAGGTGGGAGGTGTTTCCAAGCCAGTCACATCACCCTGCACTTCATCACTTGAAAGCCACAGGTGTCTTCAGCACTCTGTCACCAAAGCAGGTAGGAAGGACAGGGGTGGCAGTTGGAGGTTTTGTGCACCTGTAGCAGCTCACAGCACAATTAAAGGAAGAATGGGGCAAGAATGGAAAAAGCTAAGATATTTCCAAAGCTCTGCAGAAGCTGATCAGCAAATATCCCCACATCAGGTTCACATCAGAAAAATCACCAGTCAGCTCAGGCTTCTGACAATGAAGCAAGGAAAGTTACTGTGATGCTCAAACAGCCTTTGAGTCTTACACATGGTCAATTAGACCTCTTCCAGTCATTAGCAGTAAATGCTATAAACTCGTCTGACTGGCCCAAACATAGAAAATGGCTACTGCAAACTGTAGAGCAGCTTGAAAAAACTTGTCTCCTCTAAGTAGAGACTAAACAGAGACAAGTGGACATCAGGACAAGACAGTTAATAGCACTCATGTATGGTTATGGTCCACAAAGCATCTCTCATTAAGTGCAGTATGCATTTCAGATATTTTATAACCAAGATGACAAATTTAATCTCCCTGTTTGTGAAACATTTGAAAAGTATTCACTTGCAAGCATCTAAAACAGTTCATGCATAAGCATCTGCCCACACTCTGCCC